GACGAGCTAAACCCAAATTTGTGTCTCTCACTGGTTTCTAAACATTGTCTTTTTCTTATGGGGACCACAAAGAACATTTTTACCACAGCTGTTTTGAGGTACAATGTGTCAGCTATTCTAACTTTTAGCATTATGAAAAAGAGAGCTCGCGGAGTGATATAAAGGACATGAAAGTAGCACCGGTTGAAAGCAATATTTATTATTGGTTACTTTTATGATAGCAATTCCATTAGAAGTAGGATTTCCCAAAACGCCCAAATGTACGTCAAACAATATGTTTGTATGAAACATAACTGTACATCTCCCAAGTTTGTCAAATATGTTTGAAGAAGTTTTCAGCCTTCGCTCTTGTGCAGGAAAGAAGATGAACAGAGTTACTAAGATCCAAACAAACCCATCAACTACTGGGATAGACATGGCTCCTTGCTTTAAGGTAAAAACCTTACCACTCTTTCTCTCAAGTGAGAAGAACAATGAAATAGTGAGAAACAAGGTATTGATTCTCTGTCTGAGAGTGAGAAACAGGCTTTGATGTTAAACTATCAATAATTTAACAAAGGATTCCTCTGCTTAGGTATTGATTTTGAGACTTTATAGACGAATGTTCTGTGGATGGTTGCTGCTGCTGTTTCTTGTCATTATGTGCAAGAGCATGAGAAGAATTCAGTATTATTTAAAGGGATAGTTCAGCCAGAAATGAACAACTTCAAGTTGCTCCATCCTATATGAATTTCTTCCTTCTCTGGAACACAAAAGAAGATGTTTTGAAGAATGTGGGTAACCAAACAGTTTCTGGTCCCCGTTTGCTTCCATAGTATTTTTTTCATACTATGGAAGTCAGTGGGGACTAGCAACTGCTTGGATACCCACATTCTTCAAAACATCTTCCCTTGTGTTCAGGAGAAAAAAAAAGACATTCATACAGGATTGGAACAACTTGAGGGTGTATATGATGACAGAATTTTTGGGAAAACTATCCCTTTAAAATATAGAGGACATAATGAAATGAGAGGAGGCCAGTGGTTGAGTGTGTAGGAGAGAGACATTTCTCCAAATTAGAAAATGAAGCTGTGACATGTGCATGTGTGTGTTTGTTTGTCAGGTGACCGTGTTCGAGCAGGAGCATTTCCAAGGTAAATGTCAAGAGCTCACCTCAGAGTGCCGCAACGTCCAGGAGCGTGGGTTTGACAACATCCGCTCTGTCCGTGTGGAGAGCGGCGCGTGAGTCGCCCACTCTGTGTTAATGATTGCAAAATCTTGCCAGTTAGTAAGGAAATTACAGTTTTTGAAAGCTTTTGAGTGTTTCATCCTGAGATTATTTAAAATGTGTGTTGAGAAGTGTCCTTTCCAATAAATTATGAAAATGACTGAGATGCCTCAAGATTACTTGAGAATTGCTTCCTGCAGGTGACTCAGGCAACAACAAAGGCAAAAAAAATCCCACAATATGGGCACATTGCTTATTATAATCCTTAACACATGCATTTTTTAATGAAAACAAAACATCATATATAACTCAACCCTCTTGTAAATATTTTATAAATGTTAAATTCTCCTTAATTCTGTGCAGCTGGGTGGGATACGAGCACCATGACTTCCAGGGGCAGCAGTTTGTCCTGGAAAAAGGAGAATATCCTCATTGGGACGCCTATAGCGGCAGTCTGGGCTATCATGTGGAGAGGATGATGTCACTGCGCCCCATCTGCAGCGCTGTGAGTGTGTGAGCACATTCTGATGCTTTGAAAGTCTTTTATTCTCTAATTTTTCTAAGGAATTGGACTGATTTTTTCCTGATAGTAAAACAAAGTGAGGACATCTACAATGAAGGAAAGAGCTGAGCCATATCTCAGAAAATCATAGACTATTTTGGTTAAGCCTGTACACACTTAAAAATAAAGGTTCTTTATTGGCATTGATGGTTCCATGAAGAACCTTTAACATCCATGGAACCTTTCCATTGCACAAAAGGTTAATTCAAGTGGAAAAGGGTTCTTCAGATTATTAAAATGTTCTCACACTAAGAAAAATGTGTTCTTTTAAGAACTTGTCAGGCTCTTTGGGGAACCCAGAATATTTCTTCTGTGGCTCCCTGTGAAAACCCCATTTGGAAGCTTTATTTTTGAGTGCAGCAACAGGAAAAACACCTTAGCAACTGCATGTAAATGCACCATAACCTGTTAGAAACCTTATAAAAAAAACTATAAAACACCCTCGCTTAATAACTTCACAGCACTGCAGTTGTAAGAAAAAATACCATGGAGACTGATGGTGAATGTGATGTTTTTGGTGGTTTTGAAGTGCTAAACTTCATTCAAGCAAACAGTATCTCTCATTAAAACCAGGCTGTTTTTTTTCTTCATTCCTCCACTGTTCCTTCCATTTGTAGGACCACAAGAGCAGTCGCATGGTCATCTATGAGAAGGAGAACTTCCTGGGCCGCAATGTAGAGCTGTGTGACGATTACCCATCTCTTCAGGCCATGGGCTGGTGTGACAAGCAAGTGGGCTCCATGCATGTGCAGTGTGGCGCGTGAGTAACGGTCGACAAAACACCATTAGTGCCAAACTACTGTTCTCCTGAACTGCACATTTTTCATGCTCAACAGCTGCGCTGACGATACACTTACCACAGAGTCATCTGCGTCATTGGCTCATAGTATCTAGCCCTTGTGTTTTTGAAGTGTTAATGTTTTTGCTTTCACAATACAGTCCAGTGTAACATACTGTCAGATGAAAGATATTTCTTTGACTGCACATTCCTCACTTGGTGCATCAGACGCACTCACATAACAGCAATACTGTACCTGTGACTACCACATCGGTTATGTAATGACGTTATATCAACATTTCAGTGCATGTCACAGAAACTGATCATTTAACCCAGTGATAATTTACCATACCGTACATGGAAGAAGGGTTTGCAGTTTTCATCTGTTAGGTGATAAAACAGGAGAAAAACATCCCATACTCCCATGGGGCATAGGCAAGCAAAAGTCTAATTATGATTATTTGAAGTATTCCATTTCAGTCACACTTTATTTGATGGTCCAATTCTCACTATTAACTAAGACTTTTGCCTCAGATCTTCTTTAATAATCGCTTATTAATAGTTAGTAAGGTAGTTATTAAGTTTAGGTATTGGGTAGGATTAAGGGATGTAGAATATGGTCATGCAGAATATGTACTTTATAAATACTTATAAACAGTCAATATGCTAGTAAAATGCATGCTATTAAGCAACTAGTTAAAGGCACAAGATGTCATTTTCGCCGCTGGAGGGCACGTATTCAAAATAAACAAAGAGACAAAGGCATAATTTGATGGCGCTGTGACTGAGTGTGGAATCATGGGAGTTGTGGTCTTCATCCCCACAGCCGATGCAATCCGACGGGACTCGGGCAGAAATCATGTTCATGGATGAGCTAATGATTTATTAACGTAGTAGAATGAAGCAGGGTGAGGCTGAAAGCCGTCGAAGCAAAAAGAGGCAGCTGAACGAGCTTGACACACGGCTCGAAAACAGCGGAGCTTTTATTATGCCACAGTTGACACAGTTGCTTCCGCTCCTTCCGGTCGTGTGTATGTGGGGTAAAGCAGCGCTGTTTTATCATACTAGATACATTTGAAAGTTCTGTTATTATGCTACTTTGTGCGGTCGTCACCGGTCTATTAAAACGCACAACATATTAAAGCATCTTTGGTGTTTCCATGTTTTCTACAAAACAAAACCGAGGGGGAAATCGAGGGGTTATGACGTCATTGGCAGGCGACACAATGACACTATGGACATGGTCCGTGTCACTAGTTAAAATAGCTGATTTCTCTGGATTTAAACATTCTTCGAAACATTTGGGATAATGTAAGTACACAAGTCAGCAAAATATAACACTGTTCTAGTGGTTTTTGGATATTTTAATAGATAAATCTTACATATTGTGCCTTTAATAGTGAGAATTGGTCCCTAAACTAAGGTGTTACCTACATTTCTAATGTACATTAGAATCCAGCTGAATTTATGAATTCAAGATTCTTGCCTTCTATTGAAAAACTGATTTTATTCCCTTCCACACAGCTTGTCATATTGTATTCAGTCGCTTTACCTCCTCCTCATTTCCTGTCATGATCTCTTTCCCTGCAGCTTTGCGTGTTACGAGTACCCTGGCTATCGAGGACAGCAGTACGTTATGGAGTGTGACAGGCACAGCGGAGACTACCAGCACTGGAGGGACTGGGGCTCCCACTGCCAGACCCCTCAGATCCAGTCCATCCGCAGAATCCGGCAGTAATGCCTGAGGCGAATGGAAGGAAATGGAAAGCGTGCATAGTTTGGAAGCAGAATAGTCACACCAGTCATTCTAGCAGCAGTCACTTTATGAGGTGCAGTGTGGCAAATTGTAAGACCTTCACTGATTGCACATAGTTTCCACTTATGGCACTCCAGTACTAGACGAATAAAAAAAAATCCACGCATGTACAGATACACATCAATGCTCGTTCAAGAAAATGCACCAGCTCACATTCATAAACGCACATACATCCCCACATGTGATCCAAGGTAAAGTAGTAGCTTGTATGAACAATATTCATAAGATACTAATATTCTATACAACATAAGCACAGTGGGGGACACTGAAGAGTAAAAATCTTTCAATCAAGGCAAGATGTGTATCTGTATATGCAGACATGTCACATCTCTGTGACGTTTGAGTGCCACATGGGGACAGATTAGAGTGTGTGTTAGAGCATTCTGAGGAGAGGAGGACAACGGTTGACTAATAAATACATACTCACCTCAAACTAGCATCTTTGTCCTTTTGCCTGTTCTCAAAAAGATTGTAACAGTACTCATCATTCTTTAATGATTTCAGACTACATATATATAACACATGCTAAAAACCACTATTATAACAGATGTGAAAGACCTGCAAATCACTACAGGTGATTTACATATTCAATATATTATATCTAGTAAATGTTTTATGACAGAAATAAGGCACTAATACACAAAAAGGTGTGTTCTGCTGCGGACAAGGGAAAGCATTTAAAAAATATATTATTAATATTATTGATTTTCCCATTCTGACCACCTTTCCAATGCAGATTAAAGAGAAACACTACAAACTGTACACTAATGTACACTAAATAAATGAACTGCAGTATTCTTGGATCAATCGCATTCACATTCTAGCACATCAAACACTGGTTAAAAACATTCTAAAAGTGGCAAAAGCAGCATTTTTAATCATACATCTTCTATTTTATGTTTATTGCAAATATATGTTTTATAACATCATAAATGTAAACGTAATGTAACACTTTTTTTTAAATGGCGAGAACTTTGGTTCTTCAGTTACAATGAGGAAAAGCGATATGTATTGGATAAATAATTACAGCGCACAGAAAGGAATTAGAATGAAACACACAACTCGAGCACATCACCTTGACCACGTTCGAAATGGAGAATATCCATTTCTATGGCAACAAAACCACCTAACCTTACAAGGTATCTGCGGTTTCCTCTTTTCACTTCCCATTTCGATTAAATGCTTGGGTCACTTCTTTTTTTTCTATTGTGAACTACTTTCTGACCTTCATTTTATCATTGGTGGCCCACACTTTTACTTTCCAAAGGAAAAAAAAGTCTTATTTAATATAAAAGTGAGTAAATGTTTCCTATACCATCGCTTCTCTTTCAAGCTGGCTTTTCAGTATTTTACAACAACATCTCATCTCGTTCCAATCTCCTCACCTTTTCACCTCTCCTTTTCTAGTCCCTTATGTGTTGGACATAGTCCTCTCTCTCTCCTGCCTGTTCGTAGGCAGCGTTGTCGTGTTTCCTCCTGCGGTCCCTAACCCTGCTCCTCTCCGGTCCTGGTGAACCCTGGGAATCGACGTCTGTATTTCTGTCCTCCTCAATTAACCCTCTCTCATCCTCATCTTTCTCATCATCATCAGCATCACTCAGATCTGTGTCGGATTCATCAGAATTTTCTTCCTCAAGGTATCGGTAACCTTTGACCTTTGAGGAAAAGGATAGTAATGTAAGACATTAGCAATGAGAGTGATATGGAAGTATAATAATGACAAATGCAGAAGTCTATCCACCTAGAACAGTAGTCTCAACAATGAAAGGATAGTGTAGAAATTTATAATTTCACTCAACATTTAGACATAGACAATAGACATAGTAAATGCATTTTTGTTTTGGTTTTACAAATTGAGGATGACTCAAAATTATTGTCTGTGGTAATCGACAGGTTCTGCCAATACAGTTGTTTTGAACCTGGAAACTTTCTTTTTTTTATTTTACAGAATACATTAATTCTACTTTTAACACTAACGGGCTGTTTCTTTTAGAAAATCACTTTAAAGCCCCCACAGACTCACACAGACACATTCATAGCTGAATTACCTTGTGTCGTGGACGGGGAATCCGTGGCAACCTGAACGGAATTTTCTTCGCCAGGCGACGCTCCATTTGCACATAGCAGAAACATGCCACTATGAGAGTCAACAACAGGAGTCCAAGCTTAGCCTTAAAAAGAGACCAGAGAGAATGTGCAGCTGACTTAATCACTATTTTTAAACACCGATTAATGTAAACAAAAAAATTTGAATACATCTCCACATATTGAGGTGCGGTCCCGTATACTGTTGATTAGCTGAATTTCGTGAACAAAATCCAGTCGTTTCAATAGGAATCTGTGCTGTCGGTAGTTTTGTGCAAGAGTGAAAAAGCCCCCAACACAGATTTCGCAATGTTTGTTGGTCATGCAAATAGACAACAGAAAGCTGCTTAGTTTGAAGTAACTTCTGCGTGAGCAGTGCTTCATACATTACTTTGTTACTATTTTTTGCTGCAATATCGCGAATGTGACCACCTTTAGACAGAACTCAAGACTAAGACTAAACTGCCCATCAAAATGCCACAAAAAGCATTTGACAATAGTTTAATGTGTTTTCATCAGATATCAGTGTTTTCTGTACTCAATAACAGTGTGATGTCCAATCCACAAACTAAAAACCCTTATGCATCGATTCTTTGTAACAAGTTAAAGTGTGGTCACATTAGTGACATTTTGTGGAAAAAAATGGTAAATTGGCAACTGTCAATAGTATAGTGATATAAAAAGCACAACTCACATAGAGGTCAATTTCGAACCAAACAACTGGCCAATATCGCAAATTCGCATGACCAACTGAACCCGATGTGAAATCTGTAGAGGGGAAATCGTTCGTCCCTATTCAAAATTCCCCGATCGTGTGGGTTCCTATTGAAATGACTGGAAAGCTTTAAACAGGAATCAATCAGTCAAAAAGGTTCACGAAACAGCTTCAAAATCGCTTGTTTGAATCAGTGAATCGTTGCCACCGAGTTGACAACTGACTCCCTTACTAAACTGCTAGTTACTTCATCTGAAATTAACCTTAACATTAAACATTAAATTACTGTATTTACTCAATCATTCTTGTGTGACAACGTCTTATAAAAGGTACATATTCAAAACATAGTTTTATAATATTAATATAAAAAAATACATTGAATTTTGTTACATAAATATTAAAGCTTATGGTTTCTGAGATTTAACTGAAGCAACTGTAAGGAAAAATCAGTTTGGGTGAACCATGATTGACATAACTGAACATTTTGTCAATTAAAAGCAAATTATTTTTTTCTAGTGTCCTGTTACAGTAAATGCAAGGTATGCAATCAAAACCTGCAAAAAATAAAGGCTTTACCCGCATAGGCATTGCAGACCAAAGATAGACGATGAAGATTGCAATGGCCTGCCACCAATGATAGATAGTAAAAACAAAGTCTAGTCGCTCCTTGTCTTCATACAGCATCCCCAGCAGAGCTACACACAACAACGTTATGTCATATCATTGATGTTAGAGTGTGTCTTTCTGAAATGGGTGTAAGCTTAATGTGTAAATGGCATTTGTACTCACTGCTCAGTCCAGTCTTGTTGAGCGCAGTTCCCAGACCCCACAGGGCAGAGAGCACCAACAGATATGGAAGATAGCTAGGCGTTTGTGGTTGGGGCGACCAGCACATAAGGGTTATGATTAGCACAAAGTGCACGAAGGCGCCCACCAGAAGAATAATCGGCCTGGGCAATCGCAGCAGCATCAGGGACAGGCCCGAACAGATGGAGGATGACAAACCATACACCATAACTAACAACCACAGCTTCTCCATCCCTACTGCACACACTCCATATGACTGAGAGAGACAGGCACAGAAAGGGAGAAAATCTGTTTAGGTAATGAGTGATTGTGCGCTGTTCCTTTAATAGCTTAATTAACCTAAATACCAGGCAAATTGGTTTACTTGCAGAATCCTGTTTCTTCCTAGGTGCTTAATATTGTAGAATTGCAACCAAAAATGGTCTTGTTAAGCTAAAACATACTCAGTGCTGAGAGCTGACACTGTGTGACTTTTGGTATTCAAATTTTACCTGTGTATTTCAGCTACACTGTCTATTTTGTCTCACCAGTATGAGTCCCTGGACGGCAAAGAGCATTTCAAAACCAGAGTAGACGAAGAACGGACAGAGCAGACGGAGACGGTAGTCTCGTAAGTGCTTGAAGGGCAGCTGGAAGATGTTCCCCCAGCCAATGCTGCGAAGGTCAATTTCTTCTGTGGGCCGATATGCAGCTCCACACAACACCAGGAACTGTTAGGGAACATTGGCAGCACACTGTTAAAAGCGATAGTTCACTCCAAAATGAAAATTCTTGTTTAACATGGAACACGAAAGGTGAAGTTTGATGAATTACAAGTAGTTCATACCACTCGTGCACTATATTTAAAGCACATGAGTCAACTTTGTGTGAGGAACAGTCCAAAATATATGTTGCTGATATCAAACCAGAGAGCAAGATTTTCAGTCAACTTTTTTTATTATGTAAGTGATGTCAAACGTTATTAATTCAAAACATAATTGACTTTTTATGTATTATTGAGATCTTTTATAATAATTATTTAAATAGTCAGCAATTATTGAACCCTGAGCCACATTTTTTCTTTCCACACACTTATTTGTGTTATGTACTAATATTGTAGACTTTTTGGTTGAAATATTATTGTACATATCTAAAAACTGTACTTTGATAAAACTTTAATGCCAACTTGAAAACTCACAGAGAATGAATAAACAATTGACGTCAAACCTGAAAAATTATCAAATTTCAGTTCGTTTGTCCCATAAATACTTGGAAAATAGTGCATGCGTTGTATGGACCACTTTATGATAATTGTATGGTACTTTGTTTTGTCATTCTGTAGCTTGATAATCATTTATAGTCACTCACTTTCATTATAAGGAAAAACTTTTTTTTTTTTAAGAAAAAGTCGGTCACTCATTATTTTAATGTGTCTGTTACCATGTGATTACACAAATATGAACTGAGCAATATCAATTAACAACATGTACTTACTATACTAATTCTTTGAATAGTAATTACTTGTAATTATGCATAATTTAGTGTTATTTCCATAGTAAATACATGCAATGTATAACAAAGACACATTAAAATAAAGTGTTATCAGAAAATGTAATGGATTCACGGCAAAGGAGAAGTGCTCACTAACACAGATTTAGACAGATTTGTGAACAATATTTGAGAGAAATAGGCCTCTTGTGTACATCTTAGACCTTTGAGTTCAATTCATGAAAAATGGGGGCAAAAACAAAAGTGTTGCGTTTATAATTTTGTTCAGTGTGTGTATGTATATATATATATATATATATATAAAAGATGCTAGAGACATCATAGTGATGATGATGATGACAGTCTTACGATGAGCATGGCGAGGAAGGCTGCTCCCATGAGCACACTCTCGACCTCGATGAGCAACAGAGAGCGAGGCAAGCTGTGCAAAACTGTCTTATTTAAATTCTCTATCACCCCTTTCCCTGAGGCTCCTGAGAGAGAGAGGATGAGAAGAGACAAGAGAAAATAATGCATCAAACAAGACTGTTTTATATTACATTTTAGGTCTGGATGCATACATTTTTTAAAGACTTCAGACTTCAAACTGTTTCTTTCTCTATTCAGTGTTTTTCACTCTACAATATGGCAAGTGGGTGACTTTCCATGTCAAGCAGTGCTGCTGGTGATTTGGTGTTATTGGCTATTTTGCAATTCCAAATACTGGTTTAAAAAAACTCTTATCGTCATCTCTGCTGACAGCTAGGAAGAGCCAGACATAGCAGAGCCCTGGAGAGCAGATGTGCTGCTGCCCCGGTTTACAGGAAGTCAGAAGTGTGAACTTTCTAATTGCCAAATGACTAAATTTTTTCCAACTGTAAATATTCACGACACATTTGATTTAATTTTGCAAGATATCTTCTCATCACATGAAACTAATTTCAAGATGATTTTGATCAAATGTTGTACTTTTTTCTTTGATTGATTAAGGTGCATTTATTTTCGGTGTAATTGAGTAAATGTAGTGTAAGTAATGGGCATTTCACTCACTTAAGTATTTGGACACTTGGGCCATTCTAAGGCATACATATATATACCTATACATTGTATACATCTACATGTACATCTACATAATATATTTAAATTAATTAGATAAAAATAAATAAACAAACCAAGTAGCATCTGGAAATGTATTATTCTAGAGAGCTAAGTGAATTTTGCAATTACTTTTAACCCCTTGGTCCCAAGGTGAATTTTAGTGGACGTATGAAGTCACCACTGGTTTACTGCATTACTTATGAAATAGCATTAAATATGTCTTGTCTTAATTTTGAACCGTACATATATTGTTTTATAAAACCGAAAAACTATCTAAACTTAATTTGTTCAAAAGTTTGGGGTCAGTACTTTTTTTTTTTAAAGAAATGAATACATTTTTTCAGCAAGGATGCATTAAAATCAAAAGTGACAGTAAAGTATTTTACATTGTTACACACACAAAACCGAATTCAAATAAATGCTGTTCTTTTGAACAATCCTGGAAAACATGGCTTCCATAAAAATATTAAGCAGCACCAAATCAGCATAACATAATGATTTCTGAAGGATCATTTGACACTGAAAACTGGAGTAATGACTGCTAAAAACTCAGCTTTGCCATCATTTTAAAATATATTGAAATAGAAAAAATGTTATACTGGTTTTACTGTGTTTTGATCAAATAAATGCAGCCTCGGTGAGAATAAGAAAAATAAACAACAAGGTTTTTCACAAAAATCGTAACGACAAACATATCAATGAATCTCATACTGAGATAGTTCTTTTTCTGCCTTTGGGTTACTAATTTTTCTAGCAAGTCTGGTTGGTATTCAAGCAACAGCTGCTGAGGTGTTATATTGTTTTTCCACAGAGTCAGTTTTTATTTTTATGTCCTGTTGCTCCCTTATAAATATATATACCTATCTATACCTTGTGTTTGATGTGGTAGTTTTATAGATATTTTTTTATAGGTGTTATAACTTCGAGAAATATCCCCCCAAAAAAGTGAATAGCTTTCTCTTTTTAAAAGGCTCTCCAGTGAATGCAGCAGCACTTCAGTTTTTAAAGTTTTAAGTACTTCATGGAGTCATTTTTGACTATTCGTAGTTCAACATTATGCATCAAGCACATGAAAAAAGGATATGAGAACTAATGCAAATGTCATACTGAGCAGCTGCTCGAACTGTGACCGATGCATGAGCCTTTAAAATGTAAGTGTGTAAAGCTAAAAGGGGACAGGATCGAGAGAGAGGACTTTACCACACTGTGTGACTTTGAAGAGAGTGTGTTTGTAATCATTCAGATAGTTATTGAGGAACAGCACCATGGGGAACTCGGCAAACACGAAACTCAGCTGCAGGAGAGAAGAGAGACACAGAGTGAACGCTATAAATAGCTGCATATTAATGCACAAACCCACATATGCAGCCGGCATCGACACACACACACGCAGCTGTGAATACATATAAATGCTTCCGTTATGATGGCTAAGGGGAAAACACAACTAATCACAGGTTAACTAATAGGGAATTATTGCAACTTACAGCGTTTCACACATTTTAAGAGTGCCCGAAAAGGCTCATCTTTACTCACATGGAAAACAATGTAGAAGACGGACTGGAAAATTATGATGTAAGAATGGAAGGCTCCTTTGGGGGGCTTCTTCTGCTCCTGGACATGTTCATCCTTGTAGTTCACATACTCATAATACTGCTGGGCCATTCTGATGACCACACACAAACAAAGAGGTGGGAGTGGGTAGTTAGTTAGCTGCATCTGTATCTGAGAAAGACTCAATAACTGAGTACATCATGCAGTAGTGAGCTTTTGTTTATGTTTGTTTATGCATGAGGAGGTATAACTGAGAACTGCTAGCTGCATAATCTGAAAAATAATGACCAAGCATTTCTAGTGCTGATTGAGTCGATGTTGCAATATTGGAAATCAACCTACAAATGGCTTAGTTATAGTCTCTCAAACAGAACTGGGATAATTTTTTTATGTTTTGAATATATTACACAACAGAGGATTCATTCACGACTTTTGCATCAATTAACTCCTAATTTACTGCATCTGTATCTGAGAAAGACTCAATAACTGAGTGTATAATGCAGTAGTGAGCTTTTGTTTATGTTTGTTTATGCATGAGGAGGTATAACTGAGAACTGCTAGCTGCATAATCTGAAAAATAATGACCAAGCATTTCTAGTGCTGATTGAGTCGATGTTGCAATATTGGAAATCAACCTACAAATGGCTTAGTTATAGTCTCTCAAACAGAACTGGGATAATTTTTTTATGTTTTGAATATATTACACAACAGAGGATTCATTCACGACTTTTGCATCAATTAACTCCTAATTTACTGCTTATTAATAGTTAGTAGTTGTTAAGTTTAGGTATTGGGTAGGATTAAGGATTTAGAATATGGTCATGCTTTATATGTGCTAATACACAGCCAATATGTTAATAATAGGCATGCTAATAAGCAACTAGTTAATAGTGAGAATTGGTCCCTATACTAAAGCGTTACTGGATTCACCACCATTACAATTCTGCTTGAAACCAATTAACCAATACCAGTAATAGTTTTGAGGTTATGGCCAGTAACTGCAAAATATATATCCAATAGTGACTGATACAGATACATTTTAAAAATCTCTAATATCGACCAATAATAAACAGCATCTTCAGTTTGGCTTTATTTTGCAATATTATGCTAAATACATTTTTGGAAAATAAAGAAGTAGAATAAAATATTGTAAACTCCTAACAAAATAGCAATATGCTTAAAATGATTGACACATACACTATTATTCAAAAGTTATGTAAGATTTTTAAATGTTTCTGAAAGAAGTCTCTTATTTAAAACAGCAATATTGTGAAATATGACTACAATTTAAAGTCACTGTTTTGTATTTTAATATATTTTACATGATCCTTCAGAAATCATTATAATATGCTGATTTGGTCCTCACATTTCTTCTTCTTATTATATTATCAATGATGAAACTGATGTGATGCTTATTATACTTTTTTTCAGCCTCCTCCTCCTCATCGTAGTCAGGATGTGGGCCGAGAAACTCCTCCACCTGTCAATGGAAGAAAGATCCAAAAGTCTGAGACCACTCTGAAGATTCAAGATTGTTGTTTTTTATGTTCATTTATACAAAGACATAAAGTTGCAGGGTTTTAAAAAATTAAACAATGAATAGCTATGAGGTAAAATGGAATGTTTAAGATTCTGCCGGTTTTTAGCACATTCGTGACATTGACCATGTGAACTTCAATTTTTTTTTCTAATCAGATTTTACTCAAGTTTTTATGCTGTTAATATAAAATACTTTTAAAAAGTCTGGAGTCAATACAATTTTCTGAGAGAAATTTTAAATCTTTTATGCAGCAAGCATGCACTAAATTGATCAAAGCGACATTTAAAATGTTACAAAAATATGTATTTCAAATAAATGACATTTCTATTCATCAAAGAATCCTGAAAAAACTAAATGTGTCGCAGTTTCCCAAAAAATATAAACTGTTTTCAACATTGATAATAAGACATGTTATTTGAGCAGAAAATCATCATATTAGAATGATTTCTGAAGGATCATGTGACACTGATGACTGCAGTAATGACTGCTGGAAAAATGAAAAGCCATCACAGGAATAAATTACATTTTAAAATATAGAGAAATAGAAAACAGTTATTTTAAAATGTAATACTATTTCACAATATTACTGTTTATACTGTGTTTTTGACCAAATAAATGCAACCTCGGTGAAGCTAAAATACTTCTTTCAAAAACATTAAAAACAGTTATGTAATGTGCAAGGAAAATATTGTAATTAATATAAAATAGTATACAAGTTTCATTTTTATTTATTTTTATTGTACCTCAGTATATCTAATTCACAAATATAAATCCTGAGTATTTAAAGAAAAAAAGTCTGCAAGAAAACTTAAAAGAATTAAACTCAGGACTCAATGAAAAGATGTAAAATTACATCATAAGTACTGTCCCATAAACCACTGTTGTTTTATTGAAGAACAAACTTCTGGAATCACGAAATTAACAGTGGTTAATTATTTAATCTGTAGATTTTTTTTTTTTTAACAAGACGTTTCAAGCTGTTTTGTCGCCATTACAGCAGAAGAAATAGAAGAACCAGAAGAAACATCCTAGCCTACATGATTTAAGACTACGGCTACCTGTCCCTGAATGTTTCCCTCAGGTCCGCGCAGCTGCACTTGATCATCTCCATCAGCAGGGGGCGCGCCGTTCACTTCAGCCTCGCTGTACACGTTATCTTCAGTGATCACTGCTGCCATCTGGCGGCCGCACTGCTCTCTGACCACAACAGTAATGCAGGTAGATCACTGCCAGAGGTAAAAACGACGATATTTTAAAGATTAAATAAAAGGAATAAACATGAGTGACAGCAAAGAAGAGGGAGAATAAGAGAAAACTGTGGTGACTGTAATGTGGAATAAATATTACATAAACTTGTTCCTGGAGTTAATAAAAAACAAGGATTGTGGGCGGAAGCTCTACGACAGGTGTACAAAACGAATTCATTCGATGTCAACACGACATTTGAACACATTTATAGGTAATGTTGCATATGCAATGAAGCCTGACGATCACACAGGGCGAAGTAAACATTAAGCATTAACTAAGAGCAAATATAACTCACCAATGTGGAAACGCTGAACGCTATAACGTTAGTGGCAAATGCTGCAAAGTCTTGAAAGATTAAAACCTCACGTTAAGATTCTAATCGAGCCTCTAATGAAACTTTCGCCTCATGAACAGTTGCGTGTAGGTTTTATTAAGAAAACAAAGAAGGAAATGAAAGTTTTCACCCTAGTTCCCCATTTTCTTAAAGGGATAGTGTCTCGAAATGTGGGCTATGCACATATAACCAATTGACCTATCGGTAAGTATACTTGTCAACCCTCCCGTTTTTCCCGGGATTCTCCCGTATTTTACCATTCAATCCCGCTATCATCCCGTTTAAATATTTTCCCGTATTCCTCCCGTATTTTTAATCTCTCTATTTAAAAAAAATCCCACTCGGCGTATTTTATGTTTGCTACATTCGCTTCCGGTAAAACTCCCGTAATTTTTATGCCCCAAACCTCGATATATGAATAATCACGACAACAAATTCCAAGGCTGTCCAGTTGCGAGATCTTGTATGAAACGCATCTTTCTCACACAATCGACGCATACAAATTTCAACCCATTTGTGCCCTCAACTTTGTCAGCCCAGTGATGCTATTGATATCTGTGCAGGGAGTACCGCGGGAAAGAAACAATGATCACTGGTAGAAATGGGAGGAGAAGACCCAGGTGGTGCTCCAGTGAAAAAAAAATATATATACATGTAAATTGAGATATAGCTTACACTTCAAAAGGCTATTTAATTGATTAAATATGAGCGCTTCAAAGTCAGGTGCTGCGCTGCTTTGTTTACTGTGGTTACGGGGGAAACCAGTTCCTGGAGAAAAGCGCCACCTGCTGGCGGAGAATGAATTTGCATTTTTCAATAAGCCCTTCTGCTCTGTTTAGACCAAAGCCAAAAACGACCCTTATTTTTACGCAGAAAACACGCAGTTGTAAATGTGAACTGGTGGATCGACAAGAAGACAATGAATTATAAAACTCTAAAGATATAGCCTACACTAAGATATATTTATGTTACTAAATGAATATAATTTTTTTATAATAATTGTTTAAATTAACATAAAAATAATATAATATAATGTAATATAAGATACAAATTGTTACTTTTGACTATAACAATTAAATATTCCATAGAGGGAAATATAAAATATTTTAAAGGGGTCATATGACGTTGCTAAAAAGAAATTTATGTTGTGTATTTGGTGTAATGCAATGTGTTTATGCGGTTTAAGGTTAAAAAAACACATTATTTTCCACATACTGTACATTATTGTTTCTCCTCTATGCCCCGCCATTCTGAAACGTGTTGATTTTTACAAAGCTCATCGGTCTGAAAAGAGAGGTGTGCTCTGATTGGCCAGCTATCCAGTGCATTGTGATTGGCCGAATACCTCAAGCGTGTGACAGAAATGTTACGCCCCTACCATACTGTGAATCTGATGCTGTGTACCGGTGCGATGAGACAACACCAATAAAACCCATTATAAACGAGGCATTTGTTGCATCCAGTGGGGACATAATTACTGATTATAATGACTTATACCAGTGGTCGCTAACCCGTCATCGCGATCGACTGGTAGATCTTTATCACTGTCCCAGTAGATCCCGAAAAAAACTGTAAAATAAGTACAAAAATGCATTACATTTATGGGGTTATATTAATGTATCACTGAAGGGAACTATCTTGAGAAAAGTTTAGATGGCAATGACATTTTCTTCTCCGTATAAAGCGCAACTCTGTTTGTTTACAACAGTAACCAAGGAAACGCTATAGTGCGGTCGGTTCAGAAGCAGTGTTGCCAAGTCCGCGGTTTTAACTCTGTTTGTTTACAACAGTAACCAAGGAAACGCTATAGTGCGGTCGTTCAGAAGCAGTGTTGCCAAGTCCGCGGTTTTACCGCGGAATTGGGCTACTTTAACACTGTTGCTGCGGGTTGTTGTTCAGGTCCGCGGGTTGACGCGACCACCAAAAACGTGATATTTAGTCCCTGGAATGTGAATTTTACTGGAAGATCCCCGCCGAAAAACGTGTATTTTACCCCCGGAATGCGATTTTTAAAGGTGACCCCCCTCGAAACGCGATTGGACTAGTTTTATTGCGAAAACCTGGCAACCCTGTTCATAGGCGCCACCTGCTGTCAGAGAGTGCGTCTCAAATCTGTTTTTGTTTCGTGCAGATGTCTTATGTAGCAAATAAATAAATAACACCTAAAATCAGACCATTCTGTTTTTGTTTTAAATCCTGAAATTAATCTAAATGAAATCAAAAACAACGGCCTGTGCAGATCGTGATTAAAATGCAGTGGCTGCCTCTAATTTCTGGCTAGATATTTTTTGTTTAAAGCCAGTTTGTTTGTTATAAAGCAAATAGCCAATAAATAAATTTGCTTAAAAATCAGTATCAGTATCAGAATTCATTTTGCTAGTTAAAAAAAAAAAAGAAAGAAAGAAAATTAAATCTGAGTCAGCTATGATCGGCGCATCACTAATTAAAATACTAAGTAAAAGGCCTCAAATTTGAAGTACAATCTGGGATGTCTTTTTCTATCAATTCTTCAATAGGTAGATCTTGTCTTTCATAAAGGCCGAGGTCAGGGATCTTGGGCCTAAAAAGGTTGGTGACCACTGACTTATATTGTCTTTTTATGCGTTGCGTATCGCGCCGCGTAAACATAAAACCATGTCTGCATTTGTGATCAGAGACACGACAAACAACAAGCGCTACTCTACACTGCTCAAAACTCACGTTTGAATCGTCAGTGGCAAATTCTTGAGTGAGGAACAGCCGGCGGGCTTGAGAACGGCGCGGACGGCGGATTCGACGAAGGAGCGGCAACCACATGTGACGACCCCGGGCTGGACTCCGCTTCGTCCACGGTGAAAACCGATCCGGCGATCCACAGCACTAAGTTTATGTATTTCCTCAGCGACCAGCACGGATCAGCTCTAGGCATGACGAAGCGGATATCGTCCTCTTTTGGAAGTCCAAAGTAGTTTCGCTTTCACAACGAAACACACAGCGTCTTGCACGACATGTTTCTTTGCGTGAACATTTGGGCGGTGTTATGCAAATCTTCCCACACAGTGACGTAGACATGTGGGGGCGTGTTTAAACAAGGCGTTTAGGAGGGCGTGGACAAGTCTTCACTTTTATAAAGAATATCTCTTTGGGTTTGAGACTTTAGTCTTTGCAACTTTAGGGATCTTATCTATGCACGAACAGCTTGTAACACTCCAAAGAGAAAGGAAAATTTGAAATTGCATCATATGACCCCTTTCAAATAAATATGGTGGGTAACTCCAAAGTCCCTTTAAGGTAGGGTATTTTAAAGTTTTTTGGTAACTCGAAGCGAGGGTTTACAGATCACAATGCAAGCGGGAGAAGTCTCATATTACGGTCGATCGCGGATGACAACATCCCAGATCAACACTGTTCATGTACCGCAGGGTACGATTAAATTAATGTACATTTAACCAGTTTAATATGAAGAGGCACTCAAATGTACACCTTCGTTTATGTGTTTTTGACCTACACTGTAACTTACATGACGCGAAAACAGTCCGCTATTTAGCTTTGTACGTTAGCATGGACTAATGAACTTTAACGTTAGCTAGTTTTAGCCAGAGATACCTTGCTGAAACGCAAGATGACATTAACGTTCTGCTTGAGCAGAAGAAATTTGTAACTTAATGAGAGTATGACAACCAGAAAAATGAAAGTTTTTGTCTTCATTGGGATTAGGGTTGAATGCTTAGGAACATTTTGCTCTGTTTTGTTTGGGTTTAGGAAATGTAATAAAATAAATTATATTGCCTATCCTCTCAGGATAACTGGAATCAGTGTTTCAAGTACACCAGGTAAATAGTTTTTCCATTTTTGTAGCATAAACACCAGCAAACCGATGCGCGCTTCGGATCCTCCAATGTTTCTCTATGGCGCTGCCGCTGAAACCTAAAGATGTCCGAGTTCCGCGCCCCGTGCAACTGATACTCGACTGCCATTGGCTCATCTGCGTTCGAGGGGAGGGGCTTACCGATAGGACAATTGAAAGACGGCCTGCTTGGCTTCTCTTGTTTGTGAAAGAACTTGAGGAAAAAAAACTAACATTGCTATCAACACACCAGTTACCAGGCACTGCCTTTTACATGAGTCACAGTCTTAATTTAACATACTTTGAGAAAGCTTGAAATAAATGTCTTAGAAAATACAGAACATTTACCATTACCCAAACCATATGTATATTTAAAAGAACTGTTTGCCAAAAATTAAAACTCTGTCAGCACTTAGCCTCATGCTGCAAACCTGTATGCTCTTGTTTTTCCATAAAGAATCGCCAAGCAACTGCTTTCCATACAGTGTCAGTTTATAGTGGCCTCCAAAACCGATCAGGAAAGTCTCACTGAGAACGGAGGATCTGTTACATAAGTGGTTCTTAAAGATGATGAATTTAGAGACACTTCTCCCTGGAAAGAATTTTAGCATACTGACAGTCCATCAGTTGCTGTTAACATGCTGCCAGCACATTAAAATAGTATTTAAGTAACTGAGACTTTAAATGAATCCTCTTTAAACATAATAAATAAATAAAAACATTCTCAACTGTCAGGTAACCATCCTGCTGACACAATTTTATTTCATAATTTCTAGAGCATGCTGTTTTTGGCTAATTTTAAAGAAAGAGTCGTAAGTGAAACGGAATGGTAAACATTTTAATTCTAGTGAGCAATAAAGGTACATTTTGTAAAATGACTCGGAGAATATCAGAAATTACAATGATCAGTGTCAACATTAAAAAAAAAAAAACTATTTCACAAGGACATCATTTCACAATGCTTCACAAATTTACCTACACAGACAACACTTTATTTCTGTGATGTTAATAATGTTCATGCCAACAAACTATCAACAGCTCGTAGGGTAAAATGTACCCCACCTCCTTCCAAAAGTCTGGATTATTTAGTGGCATGTCTAACAGTGAATCAATATTTGTCGCAATATTGTTCTTATTCATGTTATATTATTTATATCCTTAGCCACGCTGCCTGATTTCCCCGTTTGGATGTCCAAAGTGCCCATTCCTTCCACAAACCCCATTCAAAGGCCTTCAGCCCCCCCTTAGAGTCTGTCTCAGGTCTATCCAGAGCCCACGGCGGCCTTCCTCATCACCTCCTCATCCTGAACAGAGAGCTCAGTGAGTTTCCGACCAAGTCTCTCATGCAAGTCCAAGTATTTGGAAACACAGCGGTCTAGACACACAGCTTCCCCCTTTGAAAGTTCTGCCTCCTTGTAATGAGGCGGAACACATTTCCTGTGACATGCATTGGTCATGCTGCATGAGGGGAAAAAACACAGGACAGATGAGATGGTACACATTTGGTTATGTAATGTATAATCTCAATGAAACAATGTTCACCTGTATGACTGAGTGAAGTACCTATACTTTTCATTAACTCGTCCCATTATTTTGTAGAGACTACAAGGTTTGTAACAATGAATTGATCAAATCGATAATAATCGAGAATGAATATGATTATTGACTAATTGCATTCACGGAAACAGCCAGGCACGTCATTTTACTGTAGCGAATAATAACACATTTGTATGGACAAAACTCAACTGAAATATAGCAGAGGACATAGAATGAGCTCCTATACGTCTGTAATAAATCATATATTTTGCTATATTAAATGTATGTTTAAAATTCTACATATAACACAAGTAATTGTATTTGTTAGAGCAGTAACTGTAAAGGGAATATTGTAATGGGGTATAAATATAATTACAATCAGATGAGTGATTGTACCTCTTACCAGTTAACATGTTTTTTTTTCATTTAGTGCATATAACTTTAAAATAGTACACAAACATTTTTTTCAAAGAATGTAATGTTTCCCTTTTTATATACAAATAATGAATAGTATAAACTACATTTATTCACTACATTTGTTGTCACAGCCTTCAATTTGTAGGATGTGGGATAGCATTTACAGCGAATACGCACAAAATAATCGCAAAATCTGCTAATTACAAAAACTCTCACTCACTATGAAAATGTATGCTTGCTTATCTCAAGGGCACAGGCTAACACTCTGGAGATTTTTATATACTCGTAGGTCTGACATCCTGCCATTTATGTAGGCAAAAATATTGGTCTGTCTGCTCTGACGGGCCAGAAAAAGTAACGACGATTCGAGCTGGTCGATTATTTGTAAACTGTACGAGTGCATACACCTTGAAGTTCATACTAGTAACGTAACCTTACTGATATGCCAGATGATACAAAAATAGTTCATATGAACGGAAGAAGACTGTGAACCTGCTTAATAACTGAATGCATTTAACTGTCGATAGCAGTACTAATGACACTGCTACAGGTTACATAGTATAGGCTAACAGCAAAAAGCAAGTTTTATCGTGTTCTACATTATCTAAGTATGCGATACTGAGCAAGGCCTGGTGTCTAGATCTAATAATACAATTACAGAACGTATAGCCACATTGCATCTACAATATACTATTCAATAGTTGCGTAACCTACTACACAAGTCCATATATTTCGCATGTCATATACCGAGAACGTAACTAATCTGAAATCATGCTGTACACATATAAAAAGACCACCGTAGGCTTCATACCGGTTATACATGTCAGCCATCATTTCAACCTCCAGCTCCGCGGCGAGCTGCTGCGCTTTCATGGGGTCCATTCCTGCAAATAACCTTTCGGGTTACCCTCACTAAAAACCCACCGGGCAGAGCGTGGGTCCCGTTCAACAAAGAGCTCTGACAGCCTGCTTAACCTTCAGAGCGCGCGCTTGACCGGCGTTAATACCCACGTGGATCCTCCTATCCATCCATCCAGCGTTGAAATTGGTACTTCCGCTGACAATAAAGTTTTCTATTCAAAAACACTGCCGTTTGCATCTGATTGTGTTTTGTTTTTATTGATAGTTTTTTCTTTATTTTAATTATATTTTATTTAGCTATTAGCATGATTCTCGCATTCCTATTGTGATTACTGGGGGGAAATTATAAATGTGTATTGAAACCACGCTCTCAAAAAGCAATTTCTAACTGAACGTGTAGTAGCTGTGCTACTAGAAATAAAAAACTATATTTGGTACCACCTTTTTATTTATTTTAAAATGTCTTAATAGTTCTAGGGAATTTAATATTTTGGGAATATAGGTATCCTTGGGAAACATTATTTTATGTTGTACGTTTTATTTTACACATACACTATATAAGATACACAAAGTAAGACCAAAATAATTATACCAAATAGGTATCGTAATGTACACTAAATAAAGCACACATAGAAAAGTGTAATATGAACTTATATCAATGTATTTTAATTTACATAATTTTAATATAGAACTAAGCATGTATGAGACGATCAAAAATAAATTGAATGAATTGACAGGCTAATTCACATAAGTAAGATCAAATTGACAAAAAAAAGAGAGAATTCTTCCCACCATTTGATATATTAAACCTTTGGTTAAGAACTTGGCTCAAACATCTGCTATTGGCTTCAAAATGCTAAACATGTATTCTTAACATAAACATAAAAAATCATTCTGTCTCTTCTCCAGTGACATCTACCTCCTCCTCTTCAGTGGCATCCAACTCATCCTCTTGGTCCATTAGACCCTCAGCAGGCAGTGTGACAACCTGTCTGGCCACCAAAAGCCCTAATGGATCTTCTACGGACTCCTCTACAACATCTACTTCAATATCTTCTTCATCTAAGTGGCAGTCATCTCCTGATTCTGAATTGGACATCACCGTTAAGATATCTTCACTGCACACTTTGGGGCTGTGAAGGGATACTTCAGTCTGGACAGAAGGAGCATCTCTGCCTATTATTTCCTGTGTGTTTCTAAGTTTCAGAGCTATGAGGTCAAAAGAGAAATCAGGAATATGGATTATTAATAACAGAATGTACAAAAATGTTGAATTATAATTCTAAATTTAGCCATTTTACCTCTGTTTGATGCATCATCTGCAGTCTTAGCACTTGCGATGTGTCCTTTACTCAATTCATCTTCTTCCAGAAGGGTCTGTCCATCAATCATCTCAACACTGTATTGGTCCCCCTCCACATCAATTTCATCATCATCCAACCCATTAGTGGTTTCCCCACACCCATCATCTGAAGCAAGCAAAGCATTTTCCTCTACAAATTCATTTGCCCTCCGAAATTCAGTTTCTTCTCCTTCCATAGTTTCTTCAATCATCTGAACCGCTTTGCTCCCACCTGAATCCTCCTCTTTCTCTAAACAGTCGGCCACCCAGCTATCCTCCTGGGTGTTAACACTATTTGCTGCCTGAACGTCTTTGTCCATGTCTGATGTCAACTCAAATGAACACTCATTAGAAACTGTAGCTTCAGAGTTTTGTTCATCTGGTGTACTATCAGGATTCATACGGAAATTCCTTTCTATTCCCTCGATCACTGTCAATTCGTTGGAAGAAACAATGCAGTCTTTCTTTGTAGGTGACATTGCATGATCAGCACCATCAATATCATCAGCCGGCATCATAATTTCCTTCATTATATCCTCCTCAGCTGTGAACGGGACAGAAATCTCAGTCGTTTGGTCCTGAGTGTCTTTTCCCATCTCATTTTGGGAATCACTATTCTGTAACACAGTGGCTGTAACCTCAGTTGCCGTTTCTCCATCTTTAACCGAATATTTTACGTTTTCTGGCATGTCTCCACATGACAACGGTGACCCTACTTGGTTGTCAGATACCTCCATATCTTCCTTCTCGTTTCTCAGCATAGAAGTCTCTGCTTTTTTCTTACCACAAATGCCCTTTTCGATCAGTTCACTGCTATTCACCACTAATTTACTATTCTCATCTTCACTTTTCCCTCCTCGGAATTTTTGAAGGCGAAAAGACGTGTCTCGCAAACTTGATGTTAGCTGCTGATCAATATTCGGAGAACTCCTACAAGCGAGGCTTTCAACAGTTGGAAGAGTCTGATGTAAAATTTGATCAAGGATACTTGGTCCCTTCGCCTGAACAGCATATTTTAAGTGAGAATTTGGGGTTGTCTGTGCCAAATTGCTGTTAACATCTGTTTCTTCCATTTCTGTTGAGTCTTTCTCCTGCTGTGTATTTGGTTCTTGCTTATTAACCTGTTCAATCTCACTGTCCGTCGTAGTTTTTTTCACTTCACAATCATCTTGTCCTGACGTAGGCAATTTCTTTGCATTGTTGCACAAGTATTTTTGGGGATCTACGGAAGTATTTTTGGATCCTGGGGGTCTGCCACGACCACGTTTCACAATACCAGTGTCTTTTGATTTAGGTAAAACATCTTCATATTTTTTATTGGTGGTACGAGGCATTTTCTTACTGAGAGGTGAAGAAATGTCTCTTCTTCTCTTCACACCTGCAGCTACTTTTCTGTTTGCATTGATAATTCGGGTACTCACTCGGCGTGCATTAGAAGTTGATGGCTTAACGTTTTCACTGTGGGGTTGAACTTGATTCTGATTCTCTAGGTTTTGACACTCTGTATCCCCATTCACTTTTGACTTGTGAGTTGCAATCCTCTGTCTTCTCGTCCTTCTCTGCTTTGGGTGCTCACTAGCATCCTTCACATCATACTGAATGGTGTTTGAACTACTCCCACTCATTAAATCATCTTGTGAAAAGGAAGTCTTCAATTCTTGATTTTCTGAAAGGTCAGAGCACGATCGATTTTGGCAGGCGATGAGGTCAGGCTGTGGATGTGGGTAGGAGGAATCAATCATCGAGCTTAGAGGGAAGTCCAATTTCAGTGGTGACTCAGAAAGCCACAAGGGAAGGTTTTGCGTTTCTACGTCCTGCCTGTGTGATATTTCTTGTGTAGGAACATCACTGTCTCCCTTATCTGATTCAAGGGGGGAAAGGCATCGTAGTAGTTTGAAATCTGGCCCGTCATCCAGTATGCTGGTCATACCAAGCCTTGGCATTTGACCTGCTGCAGGAGAAAGGTAAGCTAGGGCGGTTGTGGCTTTTGGGGTTAAAAACAAATCTTCTACCAGTGAAGGAGTGGAGTTTCTTGCCACAGTTGCCAGATTCTTATCATTGTTCAAGTCGTCCTGTCCAGGTGACTGAGTCAGGAGCTCAAATGTATTGGATCTTGACTGATTTTGAAAGCCTGAGTGATCTAAAAGAAAAACAAGGAGTAAAGTGCTCAATGACAAACTATTATTATTATTAAGGAGTAAAGTGCTAATTTCTCTACTAAATCAACCCAGAAACATGCAAATCAAACAAAATAAACAAAAACAATCACTGTAAAACAGTAAATAATATCATAGAGAATATAATATCATATTTATGAATTATAAACCATGATGACAGGTTTTTATAACCTTTTAAAGTATTAAATGTTTATATTTGATAGTTACACCACATGACATTTAATTCAATTTAAACTTTTAACTATAAACCTGACCCAAAGACTAAGACAAGCATATCACATGCTGTTTGGGTTAAGCAAGCATGTGAAGAATAAATTAAATTAAACAATGACAAAGAGCAAAGTAAGAAGAGATGCAATTTGTGGGTCAAAGAGGGAGCTGAGAATGTTGGATGTTTGGTAAATGTACTAAGTGCTATACTAAAAGCATGACAAAGACAGCTGGGAGCACTGCAACATAAAGAATGTACACTTGCATAGTGTAAAGCAGCACCACAAACCCAAAACATGTCAAGATGATGCTTTACCTTCATCTCTTTGTCCTGGTGACCCAACTGGTACTGCAGTTTTGCTAACATCAGATTCCTTCATCTCTGGCTCGCAGCTTTGTACATAAAGACAAGCACCTTGAGCCGATGCCTCAGCAGCCCTCTGCTGACCTTTTGGATCTTGAAGAAGACCTAGCTGGTCTTGCTCATCCAGATTTCTGTCTATTGGCATCAATGGCAGGATGTTTAAACCCATCAACATATCGTCCAACATCTTTGCAATATGTTCATCAGATTCATCTGCTTGGGGAGGGCTTGAAGATAATTTTGGTATATCCAAAGGGGAAGAGACAGAAATGTGGTGTGGGGTATGAAGACATTTATCTGAAGAGGCATGCGTGGAAGAATTAGACGGTGAAATAGTCAGGTCTGTCGGTGGTGTGAGAGTTCCAAGACTTTGACCAGGAAGTACACTAGGTGGGCAGCTCTTTAGTCAGATAAAAAGTAAAAATAAAATTATGAAATGAACACAAATTAAATTTTTCTATAGAAATATATATACCATAACATATTTAGCCAAATTTGTTTGCTCATATAAATGCAGTTACATGTAGTTTGTATTATACATACAGTATAATTACAATCAAAAATATAACTCAGAGACTGTAATTTACAAATGTAAGTTTTTTTTAAATGGCATCTATGACAGTTTAGTGGCATACTAAAAGTGATAATGTCAATATATAATGTAATATTTCTGAGTTATATGATTTTTTTTGTACTAAAGATGTGTCATCTGTGCGAATCGGCATCTCTGTAATTTGGCGGGGTCGTATATAATTTTTTCAAGGTTTTTGTTTCCTGTGTGCCTTTTTATCCATCTTTAGTGAAGAATGGAGGCTGCATTGGAGTGTTTTGATAGTATTTTGGGTGCTGGGTCATATTGCTATACAGGGGTGGTTCTAGGACTTCATCCACAGGAGGGCTGAGCCCTCAGACAGACCACTAGATACAAAGATACAAATTACCTAAATTAATTGAAGTAAATATACACAAATATCCATTAAAGCTACAGAAGTTACTTAATTAAGAGCAGCGAGTGATTCTCTCTTTTTCTTTTATTGTTTGATTAACATTATTAACATAAGAAATGCACGGGTCCGTTATATTAATGCACATCCGATATTTTCTTAACTATTTACGTTCACGTAAGACGTAACCAACTGTTTTTACGTCGATACTCGTCAAGACAGCCATTCAGACATAATTTTGTACGAATTTGCTCAAGACGTGAAAAATAACTCTCTACACCTGAATAACTTTCAGGTGTGTGCGCACACAGAGACGATCTATGACAGTGCGCGAGTACCACATTGAGATCTCTTTCATGCTGTCTTGTGCTTGAATAGCTTAAAATCACTTAAATGTTTAAACTGACAAGCCTTAAAACACTTGAGAATGATAAACTTTCTTGAGAAAGCAGCAGGCCTGATCGTTCAGATAGTTTTAGGGGGGCTGAAGCCCACCTAAAAAAGGTCTAGAACCGCCCCTGTCGCTATACATCATACAACTATACAATTTGCAGAAAGAGAAATCTGAAAACCATCAGAAGAGCGAAAACAAAAAGAATGATTAGATGGAGATAGATGACATAGCAGCATGCAGTGAGAAACATTCATATCTGGGAGTTTAAATTCGAGTGAAATCACAGGCTTCGCTTATCCCATGCGAATGCGCCACACGAAACTCAGATGTGGGGGGTCATTTCTAAATCACGCGAGGTCCCCAGATACTAATCCCGTGCGAATAGAGCTTATGGCTACAAGATTTCCAAGTCACTAAAAGTTCCAAGAGACAGAGCTGGCAACCGTATTCATAAGTTTAAAATGTGTTATATCAGAAAACCTTTGAGGGCGTTGAAGAAAAAGCATTATACCATCAAAGGGAATAAAATACTTGATCAGAGCAACTAAGAAAAACACTTGATTTACTGCCAAAGAATTGCAAGATGATCTGATGAAAGGAGGGAAAAACATTTCAATGCAGAGTATAAGACAGACACCAAACATGCATGACCTTCATGTTGGGACATCTTTCTGAACACCACTCTTGATCAAGAAGAAGAAAAAAGGCTGACTTGAATATGCTAAAAAAATTATTTGGATAAACCTGTGAAGTTTTGGAAGAACTGTAATGAAGTGATGTGACCAAACAGAAAGATTTATGTCTAGTGCAAAAAAGACAAAGCTTATGAGCAGAAGAACACCATCTCCATGATCAAAATTGGAGGTGGACCGGACTTGTTATGGGGGTGATTTGCTGTTAAAGGAAGTGGAAATCTTGACTGTATGAAGGACATCATGGATTCTTTGAAGTATCAGGACATTTTGGCAAAGATTGTGATACCTTCGGGTGCAGAGACTGAAGCTGATGATCATTGGACTTTCCAGCAGGACAATCATTACGAAGTATACATGGCTCAGGGATCAGTGGTAGAATGTTGAGTGGCCTGTTCAGTCTTCAGATTTAAATCTCATTTTGTGGAATTTGAAGAAAGATTATCAGTGATCTGGAAGTTTTTTCAAGCAAGGAATGGGGCACTTAGGGGTAAAAAGTAAAAAGACTTTCTACAAAATTAACTGTTGGGGATTGACTAATTTTGTACATGAATGTTTAGAGCCAATCAATGTGATTTTTTTCATTAAATTTACGTTCTCAATCACTCAAATGTGTATTAATAAATGTTCTTGGACGCCTTGGTTGAACTGTTTTCACAAATATTTGTTCACGGCAGCAGAATGTTTTACAGGTCGTGGTGGTTGAATCATTTTGATTGCAACTGTGTGCGTTTTGTGTGTGTATAAAAATATATATGAAAACATTAGTGCAGCCTAACATTTTTGTGGAAACCATGATGTTTTTTTTTCCAGGATGTGTATATATTTCAAATATATAAACTATGCTTTGTCTAAATTGTGTTATAAAGGTAAAGATAAATCCGTACCTGAGATCGAAGTCCACGCTCTTTCACTTCTTCTAGCTGCTTCTCGCTCTCACCTTGAACGGAAACGAGGAGGTTGCTTTCCCAGCAAGCTCCGCTCCTCCTCAGTTTTATCTTTAATTTAAGCTGGTCCAATTTGGCCTCCTTTTGTTCAGCAGTAGCACATTTTTGCCTGTTGTCTGCCTCTAAAAGTTTCCGGAAGTTTTTGCCTGAAATTTTTATTTGTTGCCGAGTTAATTTTTTTAATTGGCTTTCTCTCTTTGCCATTTCCCACCTCTTCTTATGCTTTGTTTTATGATGATTTGATAGGGATACTTCTGTCACGACAGCGTGGGAAGGAACAGTGGCATTACTGGTGCAATTAAAACCTCTAGTTGGACTAGCTTCATCAAATAACGACAATGATGGCAAATCAGACTCCAACAAGCCACAAGGTTGCACTGAACGTACTGGATGAGCACTGCTCTGTATCTTTAATGGCTCAGACACGGTTTCACCTTCCTGGCTATTCACATCTTCCGTCTGTACACCGATCTCTCTCCAACATCTCCCAACATCCGCAACTCCTCTTTCCACACACACTCTCTTTTTTTCAAAAAGGTTTTTAAGACCAAGTCTGAAGGCAGCAGCCATTACTTCCTCATATTCGCTCTGACTCTTGATCTCCATTTCCCCCGTATACAGGAACTTAACTAGCTTTAGTAAGACACAAGATCCTACAGCCTCAAGGCTCAGAAGCCTGTTCTGCCCTGCATGTGGAGCAGGGGAAGTGGAAAGGACTCTAGAGAGGACAGGGCTTAGAGCAGCTAACACACAACTGTGAGCTGGAACACAGACACCTGAAGAGTTGAAAAGATTTAAATGATAGTAAAAGCATAGGAAAAATGATGTCAATTACCACATTACAGGCAAAGGTTGTCTCAGATGTAAAATAACAGTAAACATAAACCAAATGATTCTTTCCCCCTCACAAAGGGCTCTTTTTTCGATTCTTAAAATGTCAAATTTAAAACCATTTTAAATTACAAAAATGGCCAAGCTAACAAATCAACTGCCAAAAGAGAAAAACACAAATCAAACCAAATTAAGCTAAATATTATTGGAAGTATATATATTTTTTTTATTAATGTTGTATCATGAGCCTTCAAAAACTGCTAAAAAAATAGTTTGAAGGAAAAAAATAAATAAATCAATGGTGTGCTGAATAATAAAAATGAGTTAAAGTCCAGAAAATTAATTTACAGCATTACACATTTTTCATTTCTATGATTTATGTCTATGGTTACCAACTGTTGTACAACTTGGAAATCATAGCAATGACATCAGGGTCTTTCTTTACATGATTTGTTTACAAGGTGCAAGTGATAAAGTTGACAGCTTTTCCCAATGACACAAACCAAGAGCTGGCTCTCTGCAACACAAGATGATCTCTTACCGTCTGTCTGTATTAGTGTGTCGCAGAAGATGCTTCCCTGCTGCTGCTTCTGAAGTTCACCAAGCAGGAATAATGCAAAGTCAGGATGCTGATACTGCAACATGCTGGTAGCAACTTCAGACTAAAACACATTTAGAAACGTAAAACCAAACGTTAAAACTGTTAACGATCCAGAAATAACAGCTTTCTTCAATTTTGCAAGATAAGATTGACTTACTTTGTGTTATTGATTCAGATACAACGGCTGATATGAATAGTTTTGTTTTTGTTTTATTAAATTTACGTAAATATTTAGAGAAGACAGATGAATGTCTGAGGATCAGGCAATTTTGATCTCAATTCAACGTCTTTATGTTGTTCGGTATTAAATGGCAAAGAAACGCAAGTTCAGCCATACTCTCAATCAAGGTCAATTAAGCCTGATATCGCGAGTATTATTATTATTACTGCAAACCCGTCGCGTTTTCAAACGCTAAGTGCACGTGGTTCATCAAAACTTGCTAAAATACCCATATTATAATCCAAAATACACAAATAATTTGACATACTCAACACAGGTGATCTGTAGGACACGTGAGCCACTGCATTACAAATCTCATGTCAACCGAGTCGACTCTCTCTCTAGCTCTACTCATCAGCAGCTTCAGTGAGATTTTCAGTGACACGATTCTTTTGAATCAGTTCACCAAAAAGATTCATTCACTGATTTGTTCGGTGGCCTGTCTGCACGTTACACCAGTAGGTGGCGCCATGTGTGAACATCTTGAAGGAGTCGTATTTGTTCTCGCCTTCTTGTGCTGAAGTCTGGACCATTCATAAAATGTGAATAAAACGTGATAATTATATATATATATATATATGGTCATAATATTATTGTATAACATTAATAAATACACAACTGCATTTGTTTTGAAAAATCTCTGCTAAGTACAGAACCTAGTACTAGTAGCAGTGAACCTAGAGAAACTAGTGCAATGTTTACACTGTAAAAATTAGCGTTGGTTTTAATAGTTCTGAGCAGAGCCTCAAGATGACTTAAAATAATTTTAAATAAGCATTAGAAGTTAAAACAACTAAAACCCAACATATTTTAACCGAACTTTAATTCACCTCCCCAAAAGCGGTTTTTTTTTTGCGTTTTGAAAAAAAATTGAGGTAACGTTAGCCTAATAAAAAAAAAATTTGATCATGTAATTAATAAAAACCTTACAACTATGGTCATTTTTATTATACATTTACATTTTGTCTAGTTACGCCAAACTCACCAAAATATTTAATCAAATAGTAGATTTTTAAAAATAAACTTTTATCCTTTTCGAGTACGTGACTGGAAGACTCATGTAAATGCATTACCTTGAAAAACATTCAGCTCTTAAAACTTGTAGAATCTACAGCATGTTGCAGTTAATTTACAGAATATTTGAATATTGCTGTGGACAGTGGGTGGCCTTAGAGTAGGTTGAGAACCACTGGTTTAGTTGTTCACCAGTAATTTAAGATGACAACTAGCAGTTTATAATTTTTTCATTCAACTTAACATGTTAAGTTTCCACTGCCTCAACTAGTTTTGACAAGTTTTTATTTTATTTTTTAGAAATACTTAAGTTGAATCAATTCAATAATATCATGTGCACCAACTATATTTCCCAGTAAGCAGCTAAACTCCATAAGGTGTTGAAATAGATTTATCAAATTTCTTAATGTCAAACTTTAAAAAAGAAAATTTAAACAAATGTATTCAATGTGCTAAAAACACCATGTGAAATCACACAAAAACTCACTGTCTGAACCTTGGAAAAAAAATCATTCTTTTATTTAAAAAAAAAAACAATAACAGTATTGCTAAGTTACATGTTCAATCCATGAGAGAAAAGGTGCAATGTTTAAGACCAAAGGTAAAGTGTTGAAATACAGGAATTATGAATCAAGATCCACATGTTAGTGTTGCAGAAACATGTCAACTGACAGCACATGACAAAGAATTTTTCCTTTCGTCTTTAATTAAAAGATATAAACCGTAAATGCATTTATTTAAAAAATAAAACTGATTGCATATGCATTCACCCACAACATCCCAGAAAAACAAAATCAGCCCCAATCATAAAATATAGAAAAAAGAGCAACAGGACAAAAACCAAGAAAAAAAATATAATTAAAATTAACAAATATTCTCTGGTATATATAGTTAAATGTGCTTTTATTTTACCTATCTTATTTTCTCATCAAGCAAGAATCAATATCTGGCTAAATCCTGCCTGAAAGAGATGCAATTTTTTGTAATTAAAAGATTCATTTATCTGCCTCCAACATCGAACAATCGATCGATTCCTCGAACTTGTGAACAGCCTCCTGCATCAGGACTCGGACTTCTGGCTCACATCCATTTAGTCAACAGCCAACCTTTCCTTTACGAACTGTAGTGTCGCGAAGGATTAGATTGTGGATTGGCAGACGGAATTAAAAAGGCATTGGGGGAAAAAAATTAATCTTAAAAATAATAAATCCATTGACCCCTAGTGCTAGTTTCCATTCAGTAAATATCTACAACAGACTTACTGTGCATTTTGAATATGCAGTCTAAGAAACAAGCACTGTACTTATGGATCTCAAAGAAAAAAAGGAAAACAATGCATATACATCCTCAAATGTACACTCGTTCACTCTCTAAACAGACAGGCACTGAAACCAAGAGGCAGAAGGGTGGTCGAACGTCCCTGTTCACCGCTTATTATGAACACACACTCACACGACGCGTTGAGCAAGCGAGGCACTCCAAGTATGCAGAGTGGATCTGTGAGACGGTCATATTTACACATTCATTTATATTCAGACAAAAATGAAAATGCACAAACTGGGTCCACCAGCAGGGCAAATTCACAAAGTACTGAAAAGTAGGAGCACTGATCTAAGACCAGAGCTACAATTTGTCTCAAAGTTAATAGGTTTTTTTTTTATCTTCTCTTCTGTGGCTATTTTCTTGTATTTATTAAGAATGAAGGGCAAGTTACTTTTGAGTTTCCACAAAGAAACTAACTGTTGTCAGTGACAATTTCAAAACAAAACACCAAAACAAAGGGAGGAAAGAAAGAAATAAAAAAAATATTCGCAAAACCGCTCAATGGAATGCTTTGCAAATTTCACAACGTAAGGAGTCCCAAAGAACAAAACTATACTCACCTACCACTAGAGAACTTTCTTGAATGCTACTGGTTTAAAAAAAAATAAAAAATTCTCCCAATCAAATATCCCTCTGCCTCTTCTCTAATGCTTCATCAACGCTTTCACAACAAACCCTTCCTAGAGACTGAACACTCCACGAGACCATCCAAAAAACCACAGATGGATAACTAAAGGGGAATTGGTGGTCGTCTAGTGCTTTTAGAAGACAATGACCAAAAAAAAACAAAAAAAAAAAGGCCTCATGCCCATTGCAATGCACCAACGAGACATAAAACTTACTGAGAAAGTCTATATACATTATTTTCTGCAGGCCACATATGACTGATGCAATTTGGCATTACATTTTTTCCAATGTGAACCACAAAGCAGGATGAAGCAAAATAATCAAAACACCAACGCCATACTATACTTGTGTTCTAATAGATGCATAAGCCAAAAAAAAAAAAGAAGAAATTATTTATAAAGCTCGATAAGATGGGGATGTGACTAAATAGAGTTTGTAGTCCCTAGTGTTTCTATTATTTGACATGAAAAACAGTGGCATGGACCAAGATCGAGAAAGGAATTCATTGAGTCCATTTTAAGTAGTGGCTGTTTGCAATCACATTGATCTCAATGAGAGCAGGAGAGTGACAACATGAGAATGTTGAAAACTACTGAAGGGTCGTTGCAATTAGTGGCTATGGTCCCATAAGTGATGAGAACTGATCAGAGGCTCAGCAGGGACAGTAGGCAGGAGGAGGAAACTCACGGCGGGTGATGCACACGATCAGTTTTTCTGTGGACAGAAATAGGATGAGACGTGAAGGTCAAGCGTGGTACTCTCTTACATTAGGTTTACTAATAACAAAGGAAAACGAATCAGTAATGTGTCAGTTGCGATGGGAATTTGTGCGCATTACACAAACATTACATCACCCATTTTATATGGCAAAGTGATGACGGATACAACCGCTAAAACATCAGTCATGTGACCAAAGAGGACACATGAGAGGAAGAGATCAGTGTTGGGGAGAAACTAACTGAAAAGTGGCAGTGCTACTAATGGCACATTGAATGAGCTGTTTTCTGAATATATATATATATATATATATATATATTTTACGTAAACAATGTAATATTAAAATGTACATACTTTTTAAATATTGACTTTTTCAGTCATTTGTTTTTGACTGTTCAATTTAAAGCGGTCATCCTATTTGGCATCCTTTTTTTTGCACAAGATAAAAAGAGCTCAAATGAAAAATCTAATACAAGAATACATTTAAAAATACTAATAATTTGAGTCCATTTTATATGGTATTTTTTGCGGTGAAATATTGACTTTTCAGTTTTGTTTTTTTTTCTCCTTCAGTTGTTCACTGTAAATTTGTTACAAATTAAAGCAGATTAATAGCAAATGAAAAAGCTGAAATTCAGCTTTAAATTCAAACAAATTAAATGTATTTTAATTTTTACAATTAAAGCGGTCATCCTACATGACATCATTGTTTTTGCACCTGATAAATATGGCTCTAATTGTAAAAATTTAAAGAAACGTTGAAAAATAAATTATAATTGGAGTCCATGTTACCTAGACTTTAGTCAATATTTCACTGCAAAACATCAAAAACAAATGACTATATATAAAATTTAAAGTGTATTAGTTGTTTTTATAATATGGCTCCATTTGTAAAATTTCACTATAAAATTATATTTGAATAAATAAATTATTTTAGTAAGCAGCTTGTATATCTAACTACTTTTAAGTAGCTGTAGCTTGACTGTGAAACGGTAGATTCCCAACTACAAGCTCCTCCAAATTTAAAGAAGCTTCCCCAACACTGGACAAGATTTACAAAAATTAGTAAAACCATTTCCACTCAAGTACAGAATAGCAAAATACTGTTAATGAGGGTTAGGACCACAAATACACAGAGGCACACATACACTTAAATATACACATGAAGGCCATGCAGAAGGTGGACACACATACCATGCGTGCTCATGCACTGAGTGGGGGGGAGGGGGAGTGGCCTAACCATCATAAGAGTCCAACAGAGGTAAAGAGCCCCGCCTCTCCCCATACATTCCTCCCTGAGAGTCAAAGAGAAAGAGAGATTGACAGAGGATAAAAGAAAGGGAAAGGCAT